CTGTCTAATGCTCCACACGCCCGCTGGGAGCCGTTGATCGAGTCCAGACTCGTTGTAACCGGTAGAAACTCCGGTGCATCGCTCCAGTCGACGGTTGCGAGGCCTCGCGCCAGAGCCCACTCACTCGCCGGAACCTGCTAGGCACCGCACACCTCAACCAATGGCCAAAGCAAGCCCGCAACAGGTGCCCCAAGGCAGCCTTCCGACGCACCCATCTCAGGTGACCATCTTTCAACCCCTCGTTCCCGATCGCTTTATTGGCGGTGCCCATGAAGACGTTCACGACTGGCTTGACAACTACGAGCGTGTTGTCAAGGTCAATCAGTGGTCGGAACAGGAAAAGCATTCTCGCGTCTATTTCTACCTTGACGACGGTGCTCGTACTTAGTATGAGAATAGAGAAGGCAATCTGTCAGCTTGGCCCGACTGTCGACAGAAGTTCGTCGATACCTTCGCCAATGGTCGATCGAAGGGACCGTGCGCAGCAGTTATTGGAGCTACGTGTTCAAAAACCCAACGAAACCATTGCAATGTTTGCCGAGGACATGACTCGTCTCTTTCATCGAGCTAACCCGCACATGGCGGAAGATAAAAAGTTGAGTTACCTCATGCGCGGTGTCAAAGAACAGCTTTTCGCCGGGCTACTGCGCAACCCTCCAAGTACCGTGGTTCACTTCATTAAGGAAGCTACGGCTATCGAGCGGGCCCTTCATCAACGCTGCAGGCAATATGACCGCATGTCCAGCAATGTCCCAATCAATGCTATCGCCTTGACGTCTGAGAGTCAGAGCTCCTTACGAGACTTGATTAGGGAGATAGTTCGCGAAGAACTGCAGAGGTTACAGACTCCGGTTGCTGGAAATCCCATCGCGTCGATCGCTAAAGTCGTACGCGACAAAATATACCAAGCGTTGTTTACGGCTGGTCCTGATACTCAGCAGCGTCCTATGAGCTACGCTGCCGCTTTCCGACGTCCGCCACCCGCTATGCCAAGGCTGTACCACCAGGTGCCAATGGCCCCTTGGTCTCCGCCGCAAGAGCATACACTGCATCAACCACCCACGCTACAGCCACACAACCAGCCGTCCACAGCGACCCCATGGGCGGCGATGCCAGGGGAGCTGCTCAGACGTCCACCGACCCGGAAAACCGATGCATGGCGCACAGTGGACAGACGTCCACTATGCTTTCACTGCGGAGGTGCAGGCCATATTGCCCGTCATTGCTGGCATCGAGGCGATTCATTCCGTCCTCATCGACCTTGGTTTGACAGTTGACGTGCCAACGACGAATACACTCCACGCCGTGACGACACCTCTTTCTATGGAGCCCGGTCTCACTTTGAGGACGGTTGTATTACTGCAGAGAACGCGATGCCTACTCACCCTCCTGGTTTGAGACGTCGATCCCGCTCTCCGTCCCCCGCGCGTTCGCCTTTGTCGCACCGCGGACCTTCATACAAGAAGGTCTCCTAGCCTGCGACGGGGAAACTGGGGGCGATGACCTCCGGGGGCAAGGTTGCAGGCCATAAAGATGACGACAAGAAGCCCCCACAGCATGATGTTGTCGTACAGCCGATAAGCCGTGAAAACGATGAAATTGTGACTGCCGACCTTAGTGTTCTTCTTGACGGCCAGAAAGTGACAGCTTTAGTCGACACTGGTGCCGACTTCTCTATTATCAGTCAGGACCTCGCCGACAGCCTCAAAAAAGTGAAGACGCCGTGGACGGGCCCTCACATAAGAACGGCAGGGGGCCAGTCACTGATGCTATCTGGAAGATGTACCGCAAGAATTGACATCAGAGGTTCTCCTTTCACTGCGTCGTTCGTCGTTATCGCCACATGCTGCGATATGTAATTCTTGGCATGGATTTTTTACGGGAATACGGCGCCACCATCAACATACCAGAGAGCTTGATTACGTTTTGCAGCAGTTCGGGCTCACCCAATTCTCCAGAGGCGTGACCAAACCAACTGCGTATTACTGATGACGACGTGGTTCTCCTTCCTAGATCATGCACGCTTTTTTCTGTGGCCGCCGCTGCTGAGTTTGACGCCGAAGGAGTTGCAGACCAAATAAGCTCGCTGCTCTTCACTCACGGTATTTCCGTCGCACGTGGTATCGTCAGAGTTGCTGCTGGGCGCACGGACTTGCTGCTGACCAATTTTAGTGCTGAGCGCCAGCACCTTCCTAAAGGCACGGCTGTCGCTTACTTTCCTTCCTCCGTGTACCTACACCGACGCCGTGATCAAGAGTCTGCGAACATTACAGAGTAACCACACCAGCGCGCACAGGAATCACCACAAAAGAGAGAGAGAGATTGCACTTCATCACGCGTGTTCAAGGCAAGGAGGATACATAAAACTTGCAAGTTTTATGTATCCTCCTTGGTTCAAGGCTATGACGCGTGCTGACGCAACTTCTTTCCTCCTTGCCATCCTTTCTTGCTCGCTTGGCGGGGCGAGCGAAGAGGGACAGCGCTCGCAGCGTGCGACGAATCTCTGCCACTTTTTCTCTCGTTCTTGACGAATTCGAGAAATTCTTGCATCGAGCGATTCGTGAGGCAGTAAACTTCAGTATTGACGTCATACGATGATTACTTGTAAAAATGGTTCATCACCCATTTAACATAACGAGCTACAATAGCGAGTTGGCCGTACCGATAATTTGTACTTTCTTCAGGAATAGGTTGGTGGGTTTAAGAATATGGCGGCGGGAAGACGTGTTATCAGAAACACGAAAAAAAAAATGACCACGGTGACAGAGCTTTCCAGAGTCAACTGTTTGAAATCATCGACTATACTGCACGTCTGAAGGGAAACACAGAGACAATAAAATAAGTCTTCAGAGACATAGGAATCTTTTTATTTATTTTTTTCGCGTCAGGGCTTTGGTTCTGTGCGACGGTGCGTATCAACGAATGGTTAGAACTGCCAATGTACATACAGATACAAACACACGCGCACACGCACGAAAAGGCTGAATAACGGTTACGGTGATCAAGTGTGGCTGAATCAGAGCAGTCACGGTCACCGACCGTGACTCTGATTCCGGCGCTCTGATTCCGACCGTGGAAAAACGAAAGACTCGTGCTTAGAGAATGACGATATAATTTGTCAGGCGTTGCATATTGCGGTGTTTGTTTATTTATGCATTGCTCCGCAGATTAAGCGTCTGCTACGTCAAAACGGGTCACCATTGCCATTTCTTGTTTTACGCTTCAGGAATCATCATACACGAGTGACTTGCAACGACGGTGATTTGCCGTATGTGGATTTTGCATTCGCGTGTTTGAAAAACGTCAGCTTACCGTCAGAGTGCAAAGACATCCCACCGCTGATGAAATGCAAGAGAAGAAAGACGTCAGAATGAGCCACCATCGATGAAAAGGATAGGGGCCGAATTCACAAAGTATAAATTTAGCAATACGTGTGGCCTCCCAAGAATATTCGAAAGAATTCTTTCAAAAATGCAATACCAATCAGCCCAGGTAGCCACTCTTTTGCATCCCAAGGATAACTTTAGTTACTGCAAGTTTTCGTCGGATGATCCAACTTATAAGCAAAAAAAGGTGGAAACACTTCCTTACGCACATATTTATCGTAAGGTGTTTAGTAAGATATGGGCGGCAGCACGGCCCGTACCCGCCAAATTTTTGTTCGCAAATGTCCCAGTGGACAGCCGCCTTCGGTAATCTGTGAACACGGGCCGAATAGTAATGCAGGCCGAATTTTTTTCGGCCGAGAAGGGAGTTCAACCTCATTTTGTGTATGTTCATGCGTGCGTTTGTATAGTTACTCGTATATTTATATACACATGTAAAATAAACGAAATTGGGGAGGGTCTGACCCCACCCTTCGTTTTGCACTTGGTTTGTGTTCCCGGAAACATGTGTAGGGTGCCATGGTGGGCCAATTAAGTTACTTGTCGTGGGCGGATACTAGAGTGAAACTGAACAAGATGCAAACCGCGTGAATTAGGTGCCAAGATCGTAATATTGACCACAGGCGTGTGCAGGGTTCTCCAGTAGGTCAGGGGGGGGGCAATGTTTACCTCAGCAACCTCTCCCCCCCCCCTTCTTTTTTTTGTGGAGTCCGAAAACAAATAAGCTGCTTGTCGGATACAAGCGAATTGATGACGCCTTTCTCCTCACGATGGCCTTGCTTTGGCCCCGGGCTTTCCGGGTATAAAAATGAGAGGCAAAAACTTATTGAAATACAACATTAAGGGTGTTCGGCCGCCATAATTGTCACAAAGCTTCGTGGACATAACCCTAATAAACCTTATAACCGCAATGGCGGGCAGGTTCAACTGTATAAAGGTGAAGGACTGTGAAGCGCGCCTGAAAAAGGTGTAGTGCCACGATGTGATGTGGGCGCTATAGAACACGACGACGAGGACGCTGGGGCGCGTGCGGAGATGTACGCACGTGCCGAGATTCGGTGTCTCGTGGCGAAAGAGGAACGATAACATCAGAAGGTATCCCGGGTGTTGGACGGAGTAGGGTGACCGGTCACGAGTGTCAACGCTCTGTAGGACGTGATGCACGAGTTGAAGCGGTGGGCTTCAGGCGGCCGATAACGTCCACCACCTCCGACGCTTTGTTCGGCACGACGCCCGTTCCTCGACAGCCTTTAGAAGACGCCGCTGGCCTCTTCGAAGCTTCCAGCAACGCGCGTGTCCTCGCATCGCCTGGCGCGTTCGACTCTACCACGGGTGAGCCTGACTTGACCAGGACTCACTTTTTACTAAAACTGATTTTTTTCCTTTGGGTGTCTGCTGTTTTCTGTGTGTGTTAGTGTGCGTGTCCTATGTTGTCATAGCCTGCAAGCAGCCTCGTCATTTGTTGGGACCAATCGCGCTTTCAACCATACATAATTCAAGAACATTACAATGACATATTTCACGCCCCACTTACATGCTTAAGGGGTGGGAAAGGCTTCTCTCCTCCACTTTGCTATAATCTAAATAAGGTATTGACGGAACAAACTGAAACTATGTTTCGTAGACGCGGTCAACCGCTGAACGCACTTTATTTGTGTCCCCAAAACATGTAAGGCGCCATGATCGGCCACTTGACGTATTTGTCGGAGGCGAAGTACTCCTTCAGGTTTGGCAGCTGCTCGAAGCGGCGCAGGTAGTCCAGCAGCTCGGGTCGGTTGGCGAACGCGTCCGGCGCGAACTGGCGGTTCCAGTCGAGCGCCTCGTAGAGCAGGAAGTCAACGTAGGTGAGCGTGTTGCCGAGGGCCCAGCGGCGCTTCTTCAGCAGCTCCTGCCAGCGGGGCAGCGAGTCGGCCAGCCTCTTCTCCTGGCTCTTGCGGGCCTCGGTCGCGTTCGGGTTCATGGCGGTCACGACGAGAGCCCAGAGCAGGTCGTTGGCCTGCTGCTCCATGAGCCACAGTTCCGCAGCCTCCTGGTCACTCCTGCGTCATCCAATATCAATCCTGCTCAGGCGTAGGTAGGCGAGAACTGTGTAACTCACCCAGACTCACCTGTACTCAAACTCACCAAAAATATTACAACCCGGACTCACTGAGACTCGTGGCTCGATCTCAGTCCGAGTGAGTCGACTCATGAGTGAGTTCAACGACATACGTGCTCAGGACGTAGGCATTGACGGCGGGCACTCCAACAGCGCATTTGTCAAGGCATAGACTGAACTCGAAATAACGCGAGTCGAAAGTTTACTGGCGGAATATGAACAACGATTGATTTCACACGACGACTATACGGTGGCCGTGGCGCTAGAGAACCTAATCGGATGCGTTAATTGAGTATGCAAAATATCTTAGGACGTAGCATGGTTAATGCACAGTCGAGTGAAACAATTAGGGCATTGCGGATTATAGCCGATTATAGTGTAATACAGTAAGCATATATCATGGTGTAAAGCATATATTAAAAGTCGGCGAACTTGTATACTATAGAGCAACAAGGAGTATATAGATGAGCGCAGAGAAAGACACTGTAGTAAGTATTCGACTAACGTTCAGCAGAGTAGGACATTCAGAGTGGAATAGCCCGAAAAGCGTATACCAAAGTAGAACGCATGCAAGAAGTTAGAACAGGCTTCAACGTTTTCGTACGGTCACGAAGAAACTCGCTAGCAGGTGGTGAGCACACGACCTGCTACAGACCTGTTCCGGGCATACCACACGTAGATATTACACCCGGTAGCAAAAGTTTCAGCACGTGCCGATTTCTGCTCGATACTTGTAGTCTAACGCCATAAGAGGGCTATAACTACAGGCTGAGGCCACGTTCCCAGAGAATTATTAGGGACTACGTTCCCAGAGAAAGAAGGAATATAGCCTTCTAGAAAATTTCGCATCTCGCCAGCTTTTGCAGGATGGTGTACATTTGATCAAGAGCTGCGTTTAATTGACAGTCAACAGCTCTTTGATTTGACTAGGTGAAAATACTCTGGCCAGCCATCGCCAGCAGACATTGGCAAAAGCTTCCTTAGACACATTTATCTAGTAAATTTAATGGAGTGGCATGTAACAGCACTGAACAGAAGGGCGGCATCTAGCAGAGAAGAATAAACGGTCCTTTTGTGCAGCCATTTGTGCATACAACTTTGAGAGTTTGACGAATTTAGTACGTTGCGTAGACGTACTGTATGTATACAGCACGGTTAAAATGCAAACCAAAATAGGCCAAACCAGAATTACCAATCATTTGCCTTTCGCCGGTACGTGTACACATATATCTTTTTGGATTGCGAATGCCACGAACACTTCGGCCACTTTGACCACGCTTACTGACCTGGCGTCGAGACCGTGCTTCTTGCCCAGGTACCGGAGAATGGCTAGGGACTGCGTGAGCCGTACGTCGCCATCGATGTAGTACGGCAGGTTGGGGAACGTGAAGCCCAGCGAGGCACTGTCGGCGGCCCAACCGAGCTTCTCGTACGTGGGCGCCGGTCCGAACTCGTAGCGCTTGTCCTCGAAGTGCACGCCCTTGTACACCAGCAGGTTGCGGATGCTCTGGGCCAGGCCTCTGGCAGTGGTGTAGCCAACGACCGGAGTAGGTGCCATGGCGCACTCTGCATGCGAGAGCCAAAGAATAAAGAAACGAAAGGAAAGTATAGGCGATCATGATGTACGTGTGACATGGCTAAAGACATGGACCCGCTGCGCGTTTTCCATGGCATTGGGTAACCATACGTACATCGGCGAATACAGAGAGAAGAAAGGAAGGAAATGCGGGGGGTGAGTCGTTCTTTGCACAGATCCATTATGAGAGAAAAAGCAGCGCTCTTTTTCTCTTCTTCCCAAGGAGCACTTCTGTCGCTCAGTTGTGGTGAGGTGAACTATAGATACAGGGGACAACTCAATTTCCAGTCAATACCAGGGCGGGATCGCTGAGGATACGAGGCGTAGACTTCAGAAAATCACCGGGTGTGGCTAGCTGGTTATTTGGTAAAGCCTCAGGGCATGAGCGTACACTTCAGCCAGGAAGGGTACGCATACTGCCACTTAGAGCCCTTGGAAGTCTGTGATCAGGCTTAGAAACTTCAGGTGTTTTAGCACGGCTTTCGCGAGGTCAAGGAGAATATTTAACGAGTCACTTCTTTGCCGTTGGAAATATATAGTAAAGTTTAAAATGTAAAATGCGTTTATAGTGAAAATGTAAAAAAAAGAAGAAAAAGTAACACTGTGGCAAAACAAACTTCAAACTAGTACGCACGTGACTATATATGCTATGTGGACTTGTAGAAGGTGGGTTGCCTGTGTATGGGTATGGGCGTCACATCACGGTATCCGCAAGGGCAGTTGGAAACTTACGTTCAGTTGGAATATGTACACATTTTGGTCATTAAGGAACGCTGCAGCTAACAGTTCCAGAGTAATTTTGATTCCCCTGGTGTTCTTTAACGTTCTTTTTCGGGCCAGGGTACGCACGCACACTGATCGTTTCTGCATTTCGAGCTTATCGAAACTGCTGTCGTAGCAGTCGAAAATCTAAACCTGGAACCGCGTATTTGGAAGCATGATGCTGTAAAGTAACGTGACTCCTTCGAGTTGTTTGAACAGGACATCTTGAGAGGCCAGTCGGTTCATTCTGTGAAAGAAGTCTAGCGCTAAAATATCGCAATTGCACTCGTTTTGTTTAGGTGGTTAAAAGTGCAGAGCATTGTTTATCACGAGAAGCATCCGTTTTGGGTGAATTTTCCGCCACAAATGGTTTTAAAGATGAACATCTCTGACAGAGAGCCGTCTGGCTAGATAAAATTTATGTGAATAAAATAAACTCTCCATCCACTTATAATAGAAAGTTTCTAATGTCAAAGTTAAAAACTTAAAAAAACTGACCCGACGTTTCGGGACCGAATTATCAGGAAGTGTTTTATTCTTCGGTCTTTGAGACAGGAAGTCATTGAGACAAGAGCGTACTCTTCAAGCAGAGTGGTTAAGTGCATGAGCTATTTCTCGGATGATTATCTTTCTCTCGCTATATATATAGTAGAAGAAACTAATGGTGCAAAGACCACCTAAATAGAATGAATAAGTCAACACAAAGTGTAGGATGCGTCATTCATTTCTGGTTGCTCATGTCACACATGAATCCAAGAACTATAGAGCTGAGCTATACTTCGGAACCTGTTGAACTAAATGTTGCGACATCGGTTATGGAAACAACCAAAGCTTGTTTAATTTTCAGAAGGCAACATCAAGGGAAGCCAGTGCCGCGGAAAAGGTATATAACAAAATGCATGCAAAGAAGTCATCTAGCCCAACTCGATAAAAACAAAATAAACGTACAAATTCACAAAGCTTGGTATTTGTAAGCGGTATTTTGTCTTGGGCCGATCAGTCTCGATAATTGCGATATATGTCCGTTATCTAGATTTGCTGAAACTTGCTCCTACACTATATTATATAGCGTTAGATGTACGGGAACGCAGCGCACTTCGTAAAATCTCCGCGCGCATCGTTAAAAAAAGTGCGCTGAGGAAGCGGTAAGTATTCTAAGAACATATATATTCGCATTTGTTCGGGTACCTTACCTTGCAGTGTAGTGATGGTTTGCGGAAATGATCTGTTCGCGGCTCGAACTTTCTATCGCCGGCTTACGGTCCGCGACCTTCTCGGTACGATCCACAAACAACCTTCTGGATGAACGATGCCGTAGGCTGCAGTTATAAGGTCTGCCTGCGAAGGGAGGCCTTATACAGTCATGCTTATAGTTCACTGACGTCGCAAGTTGACCTATGAGGTATGCGTAAAGAGAAAAAAAAACAAAAACTAAAACGCCGAAGATAATTTGCCTCCTCGGTGCGAGGATGCATCTGTTCGAGCTTTTCTCGGCCATACAAATTGTTTAACGATATCGCCCTGCGGATCTGCTCACAATAGGCTTCGAACGCTTGCAATTAGGCCGTTACAGGAATGATCGCGATCGATCATAGTCGCAGAGCTGTAACATTGCCTCCGCCGTTGTTGACACAGTGGTAGGCAGCCCTGCACAATGGGCGATACACGCTCCATCTATAGGCGCTATACGAAACAGGTGTTGTGTAAATTATCAGCCGATTGCGCTGTTGGGCATGTATACTCATAAAAGGCTGTTGACCAACGACATGCACACTTGGAATATTTAGTGAACTCATTTTTCGGTCGTTGCTTATATATATAAGCCCAGCATGTACAGTTCTTAACAAGCTGAATGCGGACGTTCCCATGACTGGTGTGCTTTGACTGATCCCAGCCGCTAAGCGCTGGGCGCTGTTGCCGAGATATCATCTCCGTATGCTTGAATAGTAAGCCGTCATGCATGGGTAACATCTCGGCAACAAAATTCGAGGCTACGCGGCGCTAGCATCAATCAAACTGTTTCGGGACACGCTGTGGAGCATTCGTGTTAAGCTTGCTGACGACTGTACATATGGTTTCAGTTGGGAACTACACTCTAGTTTATTAAATATAATCAAAGTACGAAGTCATGCCCAGATATAGTAGGAAGAATAAAGCAGGGAAAAGGAGAGAACTGAGAGCTAGATAAATTATCTTGTGTAAGTATGAGTGTCTCTGAGTGCAGCACCTAGTCAAGACCGAATGATCCATGGCCACGCAACGCGCGCTCCGGACCAGATCGAGCTGACTCAGCTATAGCAGTGTCCTTCAACTCTTTGCTGTAGTCGGTGCTGCAAATTATGAGGCTTCCCACGTGAATAACGCGCTCGATGCTCTAACCACTGGCTTCCCACGTGGTGCTACCGTTTTAGGTCATGGGCGAATGTAGCGAGTATATAGGCACGACCGTTTCGATGGGCAGAGAGCGGCGGGCTCGTCGCAGATGAGACATCTGGTGGAAGTTTTAGTATGTGAACGCACAGTATAACGCAAATAGCGAGTTGGTATAGCGTAATACAATAAGACTAAAGAAAGTGCTTGCAACCGACTCCGTGTTTCACGATAGGTTTTTTTTAAGACACCCGGTACAGTTCAACGGCCTTCACAATCGCATTGATTGATTGATTAAAACTTTATTTTGGTCCCGAGAAGACGCAGAGAAGACCCCGCGCCACCCGGCTAATCCCACGTAGAGACCGTATCGCCGAAAGGCCGCAGGCGTGGCATGAACCAAGGCATTGACCTTCAAGTTCCCAGCGAGATAATCGTCACTGGTGGTCCATATGGTTGAGGCGAAAGCGGAGGGTGCGGAACGTTGCACCTTGCGAAGTGTGGCTCGAGAGAACACACTCCTAGGGTCAGCACCTTGTCTGCTAGTCGGTGAGGATCGTGGATGACAACCTTATGAACAACGAAGACCGCTCTTAAGCTGGATTCCCAGCTTCAACGCGCTTCATAACAATTAGATTTAATGTAGCTGACGCACGATGTCGAGACAGGATTATGCCTCTGGAGTGGGCAGCTACAGTATAGCAGTTGTAATTATTCAGCGGCCAAGAACTCCCATGAAAGACGCCATACCTTTAGGTTCACTTCTCTGGCGTGTTAGGGAAAGCGACAGAGAGAAGGTTAAAGTTTCAGGGTGGAATCACCCCTCTGCATCTATCATCAAACTATGAAGAGAAAACGTAAACAAATGAACCCTCTCGCGACATATAAGTATACCTGATCATCGATTCAATATACTAATTACAATCGAGCTAAATTTGCAAACGACTTCTTCCTTGAATTATCCTGATCGACCTTTTCACGCTCACCTACAGGGAGCACTGACCTTTTTTTTTTTTTGCATTGCCCCCCCCCCCCCCTCCAAGCAATATGTTAATCGCGAGAGAGGGAAAAAATTTCTGCACGTAAATTAACGTTGTCTTCTTTTTTTTTTCCTTTTTAAATTCGCGCGGGAAATGCTGTCTTTTATAGTTCATTGTTGGGGAAATGACTCACACAGAGAAGTGATTTGAATGTCAGGGCGGGCGCGTATTGTAAGTTGTGATTTCGATTCCGGTTGCGGCGGTCGTACTGCGATGGATGCGACTTGCTATAGAGAGACCCGTGTGCTGAGATTTGGGTAACGCTGAAGAAGCCCAGATGGTCGAAATTTTCTGGAGCCCTCGGCTACAGTATACGTGTCGCAATCATATAGTGGTTATGTGGCGTCAAACTCCAGAAAAAAATAATTATTAGGGTTCATCTATCTATCTATCTATCTATCTATCTATCTATCTATCTATCTATCTATCTATCTATCTATCTATCTATCTATCTATCTATCTATCTATATCTATCTATCTATCTATCTATCTATCTATCTATCTATCTATCTATCTATCTATCTATCTATCTATCTATCTATCTATCTATCTATCTATCTATCTATCTATCTATCTATCTATCTATCTATCTATCTATCTTGCATCTGCGCCTATTTCTGTGGCGCAGCATGCAATGACTCCGATTGACCAGACAAGGATACAAAGAAATAGAGAGAGCGAAAAAAAAAGGAAAATTTTACGAGGGAAAATTTCTTCATACGACGAGATTCGAACCAGCGTAACGGCGATCTGAAGGCAAGCGTCCTAAACATTTGGTTATCCGGCAACGCTAGCTTCATGAGCAAAACATACCGCTCTC